TGCCCTGTCTGATTTCCCTACCTGATTGAAATATCAATGTGATCCTTTGTGCCCTTACCCTTCCTCTTTGCATGCTATGTTAGATATCTTTGCTGCTATCAGTGTCTCTCATACCCTCTATCACCATATCTATGTTCTCCTTTATCTGGATTGTAATTTTTTCCCCAAGAGTCCCTCCCCTCTCATTTGTATTACTATTCCAATCTTGATTGTCTTTTGTCCAGTATATACTCTGCATTGTTATGTTGCCAGCACTACTTCCTTCCGTAGATCCAGTTCCCATCTTTTTATAAATGGAATACTTCTTCTATCCATTATCTTTCTCCTATCACACTTACTAGTTTGATTTGCTAGCTTATTTGTCTTACTTATGTGTCATTATCGGAGGACTCTCATTGCATTTTCCAAGATTCCTTCCACCAGATACATCGTTTCATCTTTTTCCTGACTACTCTCTTCCATCATCCATTAAAAGAGATTGTGCAGACTGGCATGTGGACCACTATTTGCATCATTTGGCTATCACTTACTGCCTGTTGCCATACTACATACATCATTTCGACTTTGAATGGTAAGTTCTTACTTTACTTTTATTTCTTCCCTTTCCAGTGGCTCTTTCTCCTTTCCTTAAATGTAAACGCACTTGCACACCACACAGCTGTACAGGTCTATAACAGTCACTGAAGAGATGGGGTGTTCCACAAGACCACTGGAGGTTGCCTCATGGTATCTTGCTTCATAAATAATGCCTGCACCAGACTGTACCAACTCATGGACTATTGGGAGTAAAGCAGTGTCAGGAATGCCACCCATTCCTCTGGTCCTAGTTGAATACATGGGACTGGCCTGCTTTTCAAAAGAGGGTTCTGTGATCACCCGTTGCACTGTCTTATGGTGTTGCATTCTTCTAGATTCCCCACCAATGTTCTCCTTCCTCTCCCAATGGAGTACAGAAGTTCTTGCCACTTACCAGTTCCAAGCTGCTGGGGTGGTGGACCATGGAGGCTGGCTTTCCCCCATCTTACTGCTGCATGGATGTCGGCTTACAAGCATTCTGGTGTTGAATTGGTGCAGGACCAGCCAAGTCTGCACACCTGTAGTTGGTAGGGGCCCTCCTCCTACTTTGAACTGGACAACAAATTCCTGTTGCTTCCTGGTTTTGGACTAGAGTTGAACCACCACATTTGCATGCCCCCATCCTATAGTTGCCTGAATGTTGGGTTCCTGAGAAGCCTGGTGCTAGTTGTGTACTGGGTATGCATACATGTTTTCTGCCTGGGTTGTTGGACCAGAAGTTGTTTTTCCCTTCTGCTTCCTGGTATTGAGATGAAGACATTTGGGACCTCTCTCTTACTGCGTACCAGAAGACCTGATGCCACCTGGTTTTGGACTGGAGTTGACCAACTGATTACGGTCTAACATGCATAGTCATTCTGCACCATGTGACCCATCCAATTACAGATTGTACATGCATCTTTTCTGCCCAATTGATCAAAACATATCTTTACAATGGGTGAAGAGTATACTTAGTACAGTTGAGATGTGGTCTCCTAAAGGTGTGAACCTATACAGTAGGGTATCACACTTCATGGGTGCCTTTCAAAGAATGCTCATCTTGTAAACTTTTGCATCAGTCCCTTCACCATTTCAGCATGGGAGTCTAGGTATTAAAATGTACCTCCTCTCACATTTCTCACCTTTCTTCCCAACTTCTGGTGCATCTTTTGTATCTAATATCAAAGTGATGATAGGGCTCTACAGTATAGAGTGAGTTAGCTGTGCTAGGAGGGTCTGTCACACTCCAATTGGTGGAGAATTGTTGCATGCTCATTTGCATGTTACAATGCATCTATACCATGGGAAATTGCATAAGGGTAGGTGGGAGCATCAAGGCTAGTGGTGAATAAAAATTGTGCATATAGAGTTAAAAAAAGCTATTATGTGAGAGGAGGTGAGTATCTAACGGAAATAAATTTTCAGTGTTGGAAAATTTGAACTATAAGTAAGTTCTCAATCTTTACTTCTGTATATCTCATGACACTTTCTCACTCTGAATTGCTAAATTTAGATATCCTTTTGCACCCCTGTTTGAGCTTCTGAGTTTTAATGCAAATTACAAACTTATAGGTATTGCTAAGACACAATATAATTTTATTGTCTCCAATCACCTTGATTTACAGAGATACAAACTAGAAAGTCAAACCCACATGCCACGCTCACTTATCACATACTGTCTTTCAAAAATTCTTTTTGACATTTGTTAATACATTATTTATAATGAGTAAAAAGAGAATTATGTAATAAGCTAGCTCATTCTAATGAATGCCTTTGAATTATATGACTTGCCGATGGAAAGTTGCTATTGCTGAGTTCACCTTGACCATAATTTTTATTCATTGTTACAGAAGTAATTATAATGTAAAAACTACAAACATATTAGGCTAGATAAAAAAAACCTAAAAGAAAACAAAATTAAATATAAAAATTTCTTAGCAAGATATGCACGTGAACTGCATGTGTTTTATGTAGTTCAATACTTTGTTTTAGCATAACTTAGATATTTGCCAGATGTTTATAGCTTTGTTATGCATGTTTAATGATTAGGCATGGTTTAAAGACAATAAAACAATATAAAAACAGATATAAACTGTTACAAGCATTTAGGATAAATACTTTCCAGTTTGCCCCTGAAGAAGAAAGGTCCACCTTTTGAAAATGCTTGGGTTACAGGGTTTTTATCACTTTATATTAAGGTTTCTTGAACCTACATGTTTTTCCAACATCATGTAGGATAGGTAAATGTAATTTTCTCTTAACTTAAAATCTATAGTATTTCTAGGAAGAAATAAAGTAATTTAGATTTATTTATTTATTTATTTTTTTGTGGTGGTTACGAGGTTGGCCAAGTCAACCAAGTGTTAGGGTAGAGAAAATAACAAAAAATATAAAGTTTTACTGAAAAAAGAAACTTTTGATATTCACTTTGAAGATTCTGTAGGTTATTTGAGTGAAATTTGAAAACTGTAAAATGAAAAAAAAGTACTTGTAGTCTTAACATGGAAAACACTTTACACTCAGACTAGTCAGAATAGGACTTCATAGATTCACAGAGAAATATTTAGTAAAAGAAAATTTAAAAACCTGATTTTTTTATACGCATAAGATTTATAATGTGTACTAAATGCTTGCCAAATTTTGTGAAGATACACTTACTACATTAAAACTTATAGTATCTATAGTTTTATGGTTACATAGTGGCTAAAAAGTCAAAATAACTGACCCCATGTACAGAGAGTTAAATGGAAAATTTTTAAAAACATGTTATTTTACTAATTATGACTTTCTACTAGAATATGCATTGAACAGAACAGTCTATTATAATAACATACTGTTTTTGTCTGTCCTGAAAATGAACATGAGCACACATTTCATTTCGATGGATGTAAACAAAAGGTGGATGTAAATATATTTCAGTAAACATTTTGTACAACAGTATATCAAAAGATTATCAAAGTTTTTAAAAAGTGTTATGTTAGGTTGTAGAATAACATTATACATTTATTTATTGATAGCATTAAATACAGTAAAGTACAGCTCTGACCAAACTAAAGCAAAAAACATACACAAGTTACAGTGTTAATATACCTCTTTATTGATAATAGGCTGTACATAATAATGGCGTAACTAATGTTAGGCCTAAGACAAGTGGACTTGTAGGTTTTGTGTCTGTAATTAGAATTATCTTGTATTATTCTAGAAATCCTGTATTTAAAAAAGTACTGTTGCAATAAAGATACTAATTTGACCACAAATATTTTATGGGTCTCTCCTAGTTACAAAATAATTAGAATTTGTAATATTATAGCTATGGTTATGACAAGATAGAACCACCATTAGAAAATAGTGTCAGCCATCTCCCTCAGTTAATTGTTAAACGTATCAGACGTCTGATGATCAGTCACACGAGATGAAATGGGAATGATTAGCCATTCAACCTGTACTGTACAAAACTTAAAGTGCTATAACTTGTTCAATAACTATACGTAAACATCAAAGAAGACATTTGTAATTTTACTCATGTTTAAACCATAGGAAGCAAGTCAATCACAACATGCTGTTTTAGATTGCCTTCATATATTTTAAGTTATTATTAGTGGATTGTGTAACTGTTTTCAATAATACAGTTGCTTGGATGTAGAGACTATCACCCACAATACAAGCATATGACTATTACTTGATTTTGGTTCATTAGAATTGTAGGGTACCTGTTCTAAGACTGAATCAAATATTGGTAGTTGCAACTGAAAACCATCACAGTGCATGTGATTGGCAACATACTACTCACTGAAAGACACAAAACACCTCACCTGTAATGAATGCCAAAAACATATCCAGTACATAACGACATTTGGAACTGTTGTTTTTAAAGATGAGTGTTACTTCATCCTGAGGCCTGATAACAGGCATATAATTATTTGGAGAGAACCTGAAATCATTACCAACATTATGCATATGAAGGTGGTGAAAATATGATATTGGTAGGAATAAACATTGGTAGACAAACCAACATCTACATCCTGTGGGATAGCACAATTAATATTATGCATTATATGGTCACATTTTTCAGTTCCTTGCTTCCGTGTGCTGGTGAAATTGGCTCTGAGTTCCGCATAATAGATAATATCTGCTAAGCTGGTTGTCATGCTCCTTGAAAGAGAAATTGACCATGTGATGGAGCATACATGTTCTACAGACTTCGATCTCATCAACCATGCGAGGGATGCCATATCATAGTTGACTTATCGCAAGTTTCAATTATCTCTCAGTTTTGTGCACTATACACTGAAGTCTTTTGTGTAACTAAGAATTTTTTCATGCAAATAAAACCCTTTTTATGGATACCAAGTAGAATTCTAATAGCTTCTAATTAGTGAAAGAACTGAATCTTTCTTTTACTATTGAATAAAAGTTGAAATAGTATTTTTTTATTTTTTTTTCAGAATACTCATTAACCAGAGAGAATGATAGTATTCTGAATGTTCAAGACATGAAAGCTTTAATACAGGAAAAAACATTATGTAACTGGATAGACAGATGCTGTGAGCTGAAGTTTGTTGACCTCAACAGTTTAGAGACAAGAGCACAAAAGTTGTGTTTCTTTACAAATGTGACAAACATAGCCTGGGTGCTTGCAGTTTTTTCAGAAGTGGCTTTTCTTTCATGTCATACAATGCCCACAAAGGTATTTTATTTTCCTCAGTTTCCGTCAATTTGCAGAATAAACTTTGCATGTTATTTGATATGCATGCGTGTGGTGTGTTTTCACACTTGTTTTTGAGCATGGTCATACCTCCCCTCATGATTCGTTTTTTTCAATTCATTGTTTCTTCATATATTGACGTAAACAGTTTTCTGATATTGGTAAAGAACAAGTCAGGTTTCCACACTTTTTTACATTCTTTAACAATTTTTATTTAGTTCAAATTAGGATTTCATGAATTTAATCCAGTTGACCAAATTAGGTTTTGGTTGTTTGAGAATTAAAGGAACTTACTTTGCTTACTTACTTTGATGCTATACATTTATGACATTAATTGTAATTTCAGAACAAGTGCATCATTTTTAATTTATTATTAAAATGATATATATGTTGCTTATATGTAATATTTACATCTAATGAATATTATATACAATTCTCCAGTGTTCTTCTTCATCTGGCTGTGATGTAAACCATAAAGTGCAGTTCCAAATTGCCTCTCAGAATAGTTTGGAATCTTTGATGAAGCAGAAGCTAGTTGGTATTGAAATTGGTCAGCTGGGTTTTGTCAGGTAAGTTCAAAAGTAATGTGGAAACTCAGTCTGGAATTATTTATCACACTTTATGCACCTCATGTATGAAGTAACTAAAAATCATATTCTATTATACATAAGATAAAATATTTTTTAATAAACATTGTGTATTTTTATACAATTCAGACATTGTCTAACTTCTGAATTTTTTTTTTCAGAGTTACTATAACTCTATAACATAGCAAAATCAAATACTGATAGGGTTGCATACAAAGCTCAATGTGTAGATGATGAAATATTACAAAGCATAAAACATCTACCTTTTAGATCATTTGAAAAATTCTAAGCTGTATGGTTATAACAATAGAAAATGCTGTATAATTGAATGAAATATGTGTATTAACCCTTTCCAGACGGGTCACGGGTGAAAGGTCATGTCATCGTGTTTGTTGACTCGCAATAAAAATTTTACTGAACTACTATTTCATGAATTTATGTCAATATCTTTGGTATCAAACTGTAGATCATAATTCAAATTTTAGTACTATGTATTACTCAATTTCTTATCTTAAAAGCAAATATTAAAAAATAGATATAAACATTGATTTTTGTGTGTGTCATGTGGTATGTTGAATGTAGCATTGCTTCAAATTAGATGTTTGTGATGTCAAAATACTGAGTCTATAGTTTCATATGAATTAGGAATTCATATTACCAATGTTGACAAGCTAGAATATAAAATAAGAAGGTTTTATCTTTTCTATTTGCTAAGATATTGCCCAGGTAATGAATCAAACACAGCGGCACCCTGCTCATCTCTTTCCATTTTTGGAAACTCTCCTATATATACACTTCTATGAATAACCAATTAAAAGCTCAGAATGTCCCCTATTGGCTTTCTCAGCCATTTTAATATGTTTGGACATCATCTCTTTCTTTCAAACCAAGATTTCAAGGTGGTAGGTTATGTCTTTCGTCTGCTTGAAATTTCACATTTTTTAAAAACCTAAATACAGCTTAGTTACTAAGCTTGATAAAGGATAGTGGAATTCTGTGGTATTGATATAGTAATTTATGATTTTTGGTCAGTCAACTGTGTGTGTGTGTGTATAT